TGCCACCAGCGCTGCTCCTTGATGTGGGTCATGGAGCCTGCATTGACATAGATACTGACACCAAGTCTGTGCACTCTGTATGTACACGAGACGTATGTTTGCACTCTCACTGCTTACAGAAGTAGCTTTTCCTTCAGTCTGAAAGGTGCAAGATAGGAATGGGTGACAAACGAGCAAAGGCTTAGGGAAACAGAGTCTTGCCATTTTAGTCTCAGACAGATCTCTGCTTGCTGGTAAGTCTCGGGCTATTGATTTTCCTTACTGCAATGCTGCAAAACAAAGGAATAAACTTCTGTCAAGAGATGGCAGAGGATACAGGGCAGCAACTTGCCAGGAAGAGTAATTCTTTGAAATCTGTCCTGTGCATTTCTTATGGGGGAATGATCCCTGCAACACAGCAAGCCCCGATATCATCATGCCTCCAAAAATCACATGCCTCCAAAGCTTTGCAATCCTCACGCAGCTCAATTGGTTATGTTCAGCTTCACAGTCCTAAAGAGAGCACAGCGAGAGGAAGAGCTGGGAGCATACTGCCAATAACCACAAGCAACACCTTAAAAGAACGGCTGCTGCTGTTACAGGATCTTCATTTGAGTCAACCTCTGCATATTCCTATTCTGGGAATCTGGCTGCCCTCAATAAGGTGGGCTGGGCAGGCTAATCCAACAGAAACTGCAGGAATGCCTCACCAGAGAAACACTCATCTGAATGCTAAGATGTGATACAAGCAGGGTAAACGTGCAGAAATCCAAGAAGCGGCTCTATATGTTTTTATGATGGAAGGCCACGGCTGACAGTGCTGAGTTAGCCCAAAGTTCAACAAGACCCATATCCATATACTTTAATTCTTGAAATAAATGTGCTTACTTGGGGCTAGATTCCTGCAAGAAACATTTCCTGTTCTCTAAGTAATAAGTAACAGAAATTGAATACAGGTGCGCACTGCAAGCTGGCCCTCTCTTGCCCTTGCTTGTTCAACTCTTTTAGGACCACTGAGTAGCATTTACACATCTATTCTAAAATATGTTTAAAGTGTCAGTTTATGCTGAATTCCCATATAAGTTCACTATTGGTAATGGACATTACGTGTTCATGAAAGTTTCTACAAGCTGTATAATTATTTCTATATTTTAATTAGAAATAGACTTACTAACTTATTTTTTGTGTGCAGATTCTTCCTTTGATTTTATAGTCAAACAGCAGAAAACACTTCATATGAAAATAATTCACACAACAAAATTTCCCCCACTTGGGAGTTTTAAAACCTCATCTTGCCAGCCTCTGCTTTGGCTTTGTCTCGTGCAAAAACATTGGCCTCCCTGACATACGAATGCTCTTCTTTAGCACAGCCCTTATGTGAGCCTATTTTCCTGGGCTCACTGCTCTGCTAAGAGAATGACAAAAGATAGACAGCTTTTACCATTCAAAAGAAAAGGCATGGTGAAAAATATCCTGAAACACTGCTTTCTATAAGACTTTTTTTTTTCCCCCTATCATCCTAACATTTGTTTTTTCAAATGACTGAAATCGTATTGGTACCAAGCCAGTTCTGCAGTCCTGTTGCTCGAGGGACATCACCAAAGACTCTCATCCCTCAACACATGCAGCAGCACTTCTTCCCTTAAATTCAGGAAATTTTGGGTTTTTTACACCAGCGTGCTCCAACTGGACACAGCCTGACACTTTGTGTTGCTTACTGCTGCGGCCACACTGAGATAGGGTAGTTCTCATAGGGTTTCCAAATGACACCCGCTGTAATTTATATTAAGCCCTTACGCTGCATATTTCTGAGCTTGTATCCAAAAGGAATTCATGCCCTGGCTTAGTCTATTGCATCAACTTCTCTGCATTTTTTCCTGAGGGAAGCTTTCCAATCTGCTGTTAAAGACAGCGTTAATCTGGAGACTTTCATGTGGTCTAGCACTTGCTGTGTCTCTATAATATCTACAGAGTTATTATTTTTGCCATGACATTTGGACACTTTATGTAGAAACTGGAAGAATTTGAGGCCATGTTAAATGTCAAGCCATGAAAACAGAGACAATTCCATGCCAGCCTTTCCCTATATGAATTTTAAAGATAAATTGGAAAGGGTTGGGGAGTGCGGGAGGATATGTAACTTTATTTCTTATGTCTAAAAGTCTCCAAGATCCCTCAAAAACATGCTTTATAAGGTGGAAGAACTCTGAGACAGTACAATAAATCTGCAAAGTGATAACCATAGAAGCAGCCAACCCTGCTGCTATCACATTAGTGCATATATGTCAGAGAGTCACCAAGCGATTAGCAGTGCAGGTGTTCGAACAGCTGAATGGCACTGAAAGGCAAAGACTCATTCTCCTCCTCTAGGTGCTTGAACACTCACGCTCATTGGCGTGGTCATTTCTGTGACTCAGAAGGGAGCGATCTGGCTGCCAAATGTAGACTGAGAATGGGAATTGGCATGTTTAAGCTTACTGCTTAAAGCTTTAAGAGCTTTAAATATTAACTTGGTTCAACTTGCATCACACCCTTACAGTTATTGCTGCAGAACTTTTAATGCATTTCCAGCAGCAAGTTGGCTCAAGATTTTGCCACATTTTTCTCAGCAACTCATAGACCACTAGTCTGTGTCTGCAAGCAACAGTCATCTGATCTAATGAACCACCCTGGATACACAATTCATCCATTCCTTATCAAGAAAAAAGGACTACAGATTTGAGCGAAAAGTCTGCTTCTCCTGCTATTTATCTAAACAATCAGTACTTGTGGCTCACATCAGCAAATCTGTTAATTAGACTACTAAGCTTTGTGCTCCTGCTGAGCCTGAATTTGGACTAGATGATCTCCAGAGGTCACTTCCAACCAGAATCATTTTATGATTCTGTGGTAACTTCAGTATTCCTGAAAGGCAGAAACAGTGGCTACAGGGAAGCACTTCTGATACTGTGTCTTTTACAGCAAGATAATAGATACTGCCTAACTTGACAGTCACAATTTTTTGTCAAAACTTTAGACCCCAACATTTATAGAGTTCCTCTAAGCACTCCAGCCAGCCATCCCTTGCTATCAGCTCGTGTAAAGGTGAGACCCTGGTTCCTTCTGCACTGAGATTGGGTGCATAAATCAAAGAACACCTGTGATTTTTCTGACAGCTTGCCAGAGGTGAAATCAACTCTGAATGCAAACGTTGCTATTTTAAATGAAGTTAGACAACTAACAGTGAATTATAGCTGGGAAAGTTAGATTTTCTGAAACAAAACACCATCTATTGTTCCTCTAGATTACACAATGTAAGTAAAGTTCATGCTAACATGACAAAAGCGCCATGCTTCTGTCTAAAATCCACAAACTTCTTCCCACTATAAACTATGTTCTCCAGTATTTTCCTGTGTCTTAAAAACTAGTCCTGTTCACACAGGTCCTCTGATGCTCCTCCGCTGAAGAGGAGGCTTAGATGAGTTTAAATGGCTCCTCAAGATGCATTTTCTCAAGCTGACATTCAGGTAAAAAGGCTTTCACACCTGAAAAGCTAAAGTCACTGTTGAATATACACAAAGTAAGTAACAAACCGTTGAAGAAACACAAGCTTAGTATGCTGAATGCCTGCAGAAACAGCTGTAAATGTTATATGACGTGTAAAAGTCTTCACATTCTGTCTGTCCCCAAGTCTCCAAAGGAACCTTGCACAGTGCTCAGAGAGAGAGAGAGCAGGGAGCATCTCACAGTGTTGCGCCTGTGTTTTCCAGTTTGGGGGAAGTCCTGCTTTGGTCTTTTGCAGTACTGTGATGTCTGCCTTTGCATCGCAAACCCCAGTGATGTGATATTCCCTGCAACACAGCATCACCAGAGAAAGTACAAGAACTGTGCTTTGCCCTTGGATGCAGACATGGTCATGCTCTGACTCGTGTTGACTGCCCTTAACAGTTTCCATGCTGCCTATAGAAAAAAAAATTTCTATAGTCTGGATGCTAAAGAGGTTGTTCATTGGGGCAAGAATGAAAACAGAGCACGGGTATGTTGCAAGACTGTTCTTAGAAAAGTGCTTTTTAGATCTCCTTCAGCTGATTCTTCTACTAAATAAACAAAAAATTCCACACTATTTACACACTATGCTTACAATATTTAACACATTGGGGTATCAGGTTTCAGCTACTGGTGTGGTAACATAGTGCTAATACTAATGGCTCTGAAATGGTTCTGAGTGGCTGCAAGTTTTCTCAGGAAATCCTGACTCTCTGCCAACTTGCTGGCTCTTATTTCCTTTTTCAATTCACCTTGTGTTGACTCTAATGATGCTAGTGGTGCGTTAGCGTGTGGGTGCACACAAAAATGCATTTCTGGTACGTAACATCTAAGAGGCTCTAGCAGCTCTGGAAATATAGAGCCAAAAGTCTTTATTTACACATGTTTCAGACTGTATGTTATAGAACATGGCTAGGACAGACTAGCTTCATTAGCACAAACAGCAAAACCCGCTTTTCTCTCTTTAACAGCTTTTAAAAATTATTTTAATTTTCAATACAAACTGTCAAAGCATGCACAGTTAATTTCCCACATTATTTTTTCATTTTCTGATATTTGTGCTCAACTAGTGTGCCCGTGTGCTACATTTTGCCATATTTACCTTCCACCCAAGTGGTGGGGCAGAAAATTTAATCTAAGTGAAATATTTCAATTTCACCCCCAAACTCTACCAGTTCTTTTCCTATGCATATCTTGCTTCAAGGCTTGGACCGTGATTTCACTGGATTTTGCAGGACAATACTGCAGGGAGGGGTAAAGCCTTTAAGTACACTTTTTTCTTTGCTCAAAACTTCCCCAGGTGTGTTGTACAGTGTACATGTGGACTAAAGTAGCACGTGAGGCCCCTGACGATAACCTGCTGCACACAGCAGGGCCCGCAGCTCCCTTTTGTGTTGCACAGAGCTAACCATGTGGTACTCAAACAAATCATAACAGCCAGATGTGACCCAGGGAGAATGTTTTTCACCACAAATATTAATGAAGTTGTCACTTACAAGTTCTTCACATCAATGATTCCTCGAAAGGCCTTTCTAGGGATTCCTTTTATCTGGTTTTCACTCAGGTCTCTGAATAAGGGAAGAGAAAAAAAAAATACATTGTATTAACAAAGAGAACACATTTCTCAAATCTACATGAGATAATGGAACACAAACATGCTTGGAAAAGTAGATGTTCTGGATTTGTTACACCACACGATGTTTTCAATTTTCTTTATCTCCTCTAGAGGTCTGTGGCATGAGCTGAAAAGACTCTCCAACGAAAACCACCAGAATTCGTGATACAAATGACAGAACTTCCAGAAAACATCACTCGAATGTGGTCATGACGCTGGCACAATGCCATGATTCGCTGTCAGAGTACCTGCAGCTAAATCTTATGCCTTGAAATTGCAACCCTGTAGCGTAAATGCAATTTTCTCACCATGCTCCTGTTTGTTTACCGACTGCAAAAATACTTGGCTACCCCTGCTCAGATTACAGCCCTTTATTTGAAATTAATATTCAGGAAAAACATGACAATCATTTTCTTGTGAGTTTTGTAAATTTACAGTGAAAAGATCTTGATCCACTGCATTAAAAAAAACCCATTGCATTGTATATCAATGGGAATGACGGAATTTTTAACCCTGTTTAAAAAAAAAAACCCAAACAGCAGCAATTCAAAATGTCTTTCTAGTACTTAAAACATTACAAAAGGTTTCAATTTAAATCATTACACCTGCATTGTGAGTGCAGGTAGAGCAATGAGCACTGCAGGTTACAGTTTTCTGTTACACAACCTACATTCAAGTTGCTTTTTCCTTTGATGTACTGGAAGATTCCACTGGAATTTTCCAAGTTCGCAACCCCCTACCAGCGCCAATGGAGGCAGGCAGGAAGGCATCAGGAATGGGAAGGAAATGGACATAAAATCAGAAAGTTGCGATGTTTTCAGGCTAAGGAAAAACAGCACTCACAATGGTTTCTTTGTCGGCGCCCTGTCAGTATGGAAAAGAGGGAGTGATTTCACTCCGGTTCAGGGTACAAAGTGTGGGGAAGAGAGAAGTGTAGGAAGATGAAAGGAAGGCAGAAGAGTGGGAAAGAAAAATGGAAGAAATAAGCAAATGGAGGAAATGGAAGGCACAGGGACGGCTGGAGAAAAGGACAAAGAAAGGTGATACTACAGCGCAGGATACACAGTGCATCATTTGGTGTGACTTGTCCCTATGCTATACGAGCCCAAGACTTTGCCCCTTTTTCAGAAAGAAATGGCTTTCTAATGATTATTAAGACTGAATGGCAGTCGTGTACTCACCACCAGATACTCTTTTCTGTAAGTACATTTTGTGTTGCAGCAAGCCTCCTTTCTAGTCTCCACCAAATTGGCTTTATCAAATGAGAGGCCAGAAATCAGAGCCTGGCACAAAAGCCCACAGTGACACTGTAGGTCAAGACATGTCACTCAGGGCTTTCTTCTGCTTTCCATCAGGCAGATAGAAAAAAAAGGGGACTATGTCCTTGTCATGAGACTAATTCAATTTATACCAGTCATGCAGTCTACACCAAATTCTCAAAGTAGCCACAATTGTCCATTCAGACTAGCACAAACAAAAATGTGCTGCTGGATACAAGTCTCTTTTTCAAGCCAGATTAAAATTCTTTGTGACCTTCACAATTTGTTTAACACTGATCCACACCATGACCCTTCCTTCACCTCCCCTTTCTTTTGCCAGCAACAAAATATTAGTTCTTTAAAGACAGACCTTCAACCCAGACAAATGATCAGGCAACCCGAACAGAGAAGAGTCGGAAGTAAAGTGTATTTCAGACCTATAAGAAGGAAGTCTTATGCTGAAGACCGATTTCATGACAGGGGTTCGCTTTGGTGTGACAGCAAGGCACAGCAGAACTACAGCCAATGGTAAAAGTGTGACAAAATGGCTTAGGAAGGCAAAAAACAGTAAGACCTGAAAGCAAGAGACACACAAAGTAGAACAAAAAGGGCTTGACAAAGTAGAATTCTGTGATCAAATAAAACCACACTAAACCCACCAACACCTCAAGTTGCATTTGTCCAGCATTTTATTATGCATTATTTCAAATCCGGTTTAAAAATAAATTAGGTTTTCAAGTATTTTTTTCTAATATTATTGTGGTCTAAAAGGGCTAACTTATATTCTTGCTTCCTGCTTTGTCTTTATGCTCAGCTCTCACTTGCAGTCAAGCAAAAACAGGGGAGTGTAGGAAATTCATCCATTTTCTACAACAATCTTCTTGTAAATTGTATTCATTTCATCTTCCATTTAGGCACTCTCCTCTAGCTAACAATACTGCCTCTCTAAACTTCCAGGATCGTGGACTGATTTCATAAATATCTCTAGTGGTCTGAAGAACTGACAGCCTGCAGGGCATTAGTGACACAGCATGGAAGAAAATTCACAACTGCATGCTTCACTTTCCGTAACTGCCTTCTCACAATTATAATCGTCCCTTTTTGAGCAGTTAGGAAGAGTGTTCATCTCTGCTTCCTAACGCTGTGCCAAACTTTTGTTGCACATCTTTCTTAAGCAAGCAAACACCAACCAGGCTCAGCACGTGCACTTCACAAAATTTGCTCTGAGCGAGCAGAAGGCTGTAAAAAGCAACTTGTCTACATAGTTTATCTTAAAGTTTCAGTTTTTCATCCCCTACTTCTTATAACAGACATAATGGGAAGCTCTCACTGACAGTATGTAAAATAATTATTAGTTATTAATAGTAACTGCAGAAAACCAGATAAACTAATGTGAGGCCAAACCAAAACCCTAAAAAAACCAGACAGACAAAAAAGAATTGTGGTATTCAAGAAAAAATAAACAACTAATCTGAAGAAAAATAGATGATGATGACTAACACATTTCCAATTTCTTAGACAGAGGTTTCAAGCCATCTATTTCTGTAATGGAAGACAAGTCCAATGCCTGGACGCATGATGGATCCTAAGGAGGAAATCTGAAAAATTCCAGCTTTAGAGAAACATATACTTCCAAAAATCCTCACCCTAATAGACAATGTTAGAGAGCTGACCAAAACGCTTGACCTAAGGACAAATTAAAATGTGCTAGTACGTCAGCAGCACCCTCCTTCACAAAGGTTCCTCTGTACAGAAAGCAGCAAGCCCCAAAACAACGGAAACACGTTCATTTGCATTCTGATAAAATAGACATGTTGAGCTAAATGAATGGTTTTGGATTAAATTATTCTTCTTGTTATTTTGATAAATACAGACAAGTTTCATCCAGTTCAGCCTGCCACACAGCTTTCAAGCAATGCAAATGGCACAGAGATTCTGCAACCAGCCACAGCCTCAATAAAGTGTAGTCTCTTTTTGGAAGTGTCCCCCTGCCTCCTTCATACAGGGGTCCTGTCCGATGGAAACGCTCTTGAAAAGGCCTCAGCAGCAGATCACAGAGGAACCGACTAGGTGAAAAGCACAGCAGGCAACAATACTGGACACGTTCGACCAACAGCTTCCACAGCCAGCAGCATGCGGTGAACGCCCCTAAGGAAACAGCACTCTCATTTTGGAGATGGGGAAACAGAGCCACAGAGATATTAAAGAACTTTGATTTCAAGTTTGCATAGATCAGAGACACAGGAGCTAATAAAATCCAGCAGCTGTGGCTCACGTGCCCTCACAGCACAGCAGACCACACGTTAGCCTAACCCAGACTCAAACAAGAGTTGGCACAAGGCAATAGCTTTTTTAGTTTTTATTTTAATTTAACTAAAATGCTTTGGACACAGATTAACTCCCACTGCAAGTCTAATGTTGTTTTCCTGATCTTCAAATGTGAATTGCAAGAGCCTTACTGATAAAAGGATTGGAAAGGAAAAAAACCCACCCCAAACTGCTGATGTTTTCTAAGTGCCTCTGTAGTCTTTGCTACAATGCTGAGTTTTAGCTTCCTGCTTTAACACTGGTTATTGCTTCCTAAGTGAAATTTCAACTGTCTAACATAGCAATAAAATACATTAAGACCCTTTTTTTTTTTTTAATTTGCCAGTGACAGAATATAAATCAGTTAATTGGAACACAGACCCTATGAGCATTCATAAAATAAGTCTTCACTTGAACTACAGATCTAAAACATTAAAATAGCTACTTTAATACAACTTGCAAAGTTACGGTGGTACTGAAAATAAGATGTACTATATGAAAACCAAAAAATCAACACCGATAGCATTATGCTTAGGTTGTCTCCCTTTTCAAAAACCAAAAAATCCTTTGAGCATTTACCAGTTATTTTCCAGATCTTTTTTGGCATACAGATTCTAAAATTTAAAAAGACTTATTTTTAAACAAAGAACTGCCTGAAAAGTAGCTTGATTAAGAAGTATTTATTGTGGTTGAACACCACTCTCTTATTTCTCCTGCTCAAATGGTCTAAAAGAAAGATCACCATTCAGTGTTATCCAATAAAGAACTAGACTTGCCTTTGATGTCTAAGAAGTTTAATGCGAAGACTTAAAGAACTAGTCTTCAAGAGCAAATGCTTCACAGCCAAACGTATCTTTCCCAGTATGTTATTGTATGTTGATCCGATAATAAAACAGTAAACTCACAGAGTTAACCATTAACACATGGAACCAACGTTCAGCTAAAATGAAGGAAAAATCCAGAATAACTAACCCGATTCCTTCAAGTACCTTCTAGCTTATCCACAATTCAATTGCTTCTTGGGATAAGAAAAGAGAGTTCACACACAATTGTCTTTGTAGCAGCTGATACAAACCCATAAGCAAACACTGGTTGATTCAACTGTATAGGGGGCTTGAGAGTGCAAAATAACCAATTGTTTCCCATCATCTCTTCCGGACACAGTAATATTGGAAGGTTTATGTTGTTTAGTTTTACTTTGTAAAGCAAGCAATGGAAAGGTATGAATGTGGATTTTAAGAAAGTGTCAGCTGCCACCAATGCTAAGAAATAAATACTTTGCCCATTAGCTTCACTCCAGCTACAGAATGTGCAGCTGAGAAAAATGCTAATTAGTTAATCCATGTTGGTAGCTGGTTTTCATTCTTTTACCAAATAGGATTTCTGG